TTTATAGAGTGTTCTTTGGTACATTTGCTCAGTATGAGGATTTCAGTTTCGGCTGGTGCAAATTGGAGTCCAATAGGGGAATGATTTTTCTGCCTTAAGTAGTTAGCAGAATAAGAGAGCATATGAAATGGACCCATGCCCAGAGCCAGGTACCTGGCAAGTAATAACGGATGGGTTTGGCCTCACCCATCATAATCCTGCCCCATTCACCAAGGGTGTGTTAAATACAGATAGGCCATCCAAGTCCAAAATATGAATAGTATTATGTTTTCATTACCTTCCTTACTCCATGACTGGCACCACTACTCCGTTTTCAGGAACTCCCTTCACTTAGAACTGGAGTCCTGAGGTTCTCATTCCTACATCCCCAACAGAAGGGTTGCTCCAAACAAACTCCCCAAACCCAATCTCTCCCATCTCCCTTCACTTTATCCAAATGTTAACATCTTAGTACTATGTGCTCAGCTATGTCAGAGAAAATGTTATTAAAAACTCATTCAGATAATTATTTCAGTGATAGTATGCTTGACAGGACTTCTCTCCCAGGGGTAGCTGCATTTTAATAAGGAGTACCGAGAATGAGGAATGCCTAACCTACAGAATAAGTTCAATTGTAGATAGAAGGTACTGTGGAACTTCAGGGTGAATGCTCTTTCAGCATCCATTGCAAAATGTCCTGTTAGAAACAGCTAACTCCATCAATACACTCGTGCCTCAGTTTCCTCTTGTCATTCAGAGTTATCATAATGACCTCACAGGATTACTCTAATATAAGGACATAATACCGATCTCGCAGGATTATTGTGGAGATTTAACAAGTTGGTTAATAATTGTTACAAACCTCTCAGGAAGGTGTAAAGTAAGAAGTTTCTAATGACTTCTGTGCTTTGTCCTTTCTGTAGGTAACCACTGGATCTACCTCTATGGGGTCTGAAGAGATGGGAAACCACCTGGGTGGTAAATCTATCTGCCAGCCACACAGGATTATAACTTCTACCTACACTATTTGCTGGGGCTAACTACAGATAAATTATCCTGTCTCTAATTTCACAGCTACCTATGACAATTCAGACCGTTTCTTGGATGGACCGGTGAGAAATCACTTTAGTTCTCTGGCACCTACGTGGACGTTTGCCAGCCCCACACTGTGTGAACCAAGGCAGTGTGTGGGCGAATTTAAGGACAACATGATGCTCTTGGTTCTGAGATAAATAACTGAGCCAAGAACACAATCCATGAGGAAAGATAAAATTTTCTACGGTTTCACTTTGAATGAGCGCTCCATTCCCAACCATGACAAACCTTTATATGTTATCCAAAATGGATTTTCACAGACCTTCAAATGCTGCTATCCAATACATGAGGGCACAGTCTATACCTTCTACAACTATTTTTCATTCCTAGGGTCCGTAGAGTATCAGACATCTACTTGATTACCTGTGAAAGTAGTAAGTTCTAGGTATTTGTGGAACATTAAATTATGGGAAAATGAGGGCTTCATAATTCCTGATCAAAATGGAAAGAAAGAAAGAAAGAAAGAAAGAAAGAAAGAAAGAAAGAAAGAAAGAAAGAAAGAAAGAAAGAAAGGTACTGAAGGATATCCTGGGATATTCACCTGAACCAGAGCCCATCAGTTGAGAGAGGCAAGTAGAGACCTCCCAACAGGAAAGGGAGGAAGGTTGCCCCTTGCCAATCATCTCTGAGGTGGTGAGGCTGATGACAGGGTGCAGAGCACACAACTCTGGCTGAATGCCAAACATCTGTGCTCAAACCCAAGCAACCAAGTTATTCAAATCAAAGAAAATCTAATCAGCAAATATTTTCAATGCCTACTATGTGCATCCAGTCAGTTGTGGTTAGAATGGATGACATTTAAGTCTACTCAATCCCCCCCCCCCCAATACCCCTGCTCTTTGTTCCAGATGCCAGCTATTATGTTAATTGAATATTCATGTTTTGAACCGAGCATCTGCTGGGGTATGTTGATGTGCAGACAAAAGCAAAAGTCATAAATTATTTCTTCAGCACGTTAATGGCACTCTTATAGAACTCCCTAGATGGAGGCTGAAGACAGGTTACCCCAAGCATCCAACCATTCCTAAGACTGCATCCCTTCTTGCTGTTCCCTGCTCCATCAGAATGCAGGGAAGCTAGGAAGGCCATGCTTGCTCCCATAGCTCCAGGGGTTAGTCAGGTGAGAACACTACTAGAGGCAACATCTTTCTGAAATGAGAGTTTGGCTGCCTCCAGGCTCACAAGCACTCAATGCCAAAAGGGAACCCTATGCATAATTTGGCATCTGTGGTGCTCTAAGAACAAAGGATATAATATCCCTTTATTGTTGAACATCCTAGGGTTAAAATGAAAATTATGATTCTGCATTCTTTTATAAATCATGTTATTTCTGAAATAACTTAAAGCAGGTGAATGAAAGCTCAGTTGCCTCATTCCTGACACTTCTCCTATGAGAACTTCCAGGGCCTTTATTAATACTACCACCAAGTATTGCAGTCATATTATAAAATGAACAAAGTCAAGGGATTTGCTCTTAGCTTGCTTTAGGCCATTTTCTTTTTCATTCTTCAGTAAAAATAAACAGCCACTAAGGTGAGAGTTGGAAGAACTCTCCATATGTGATGCCAGCCTCTGGTTTTTCAAGGTTCCCTATCTGTTGTCAGGCAGGCTTTGTACACACTCCAGTTAGCACACTTACGTATGTCTTTCTTGTTCTCATAGAGGCCTCTGAGTTCCTCAACATCAATAAGAGGCCTTCTACCCCCATGGCACTGAGCACAGGATCTGCACAATAATTGTGATAATGGAGTTTGTAGAGAAGAGAAGAAGGAACCACTAAGGCCAGACTTGCTTGCAGCCTTCCTAAAGGGAAACTATAGGTGTGAAAATTTGGAAAAGTGGGAAAGCTTCACACATCCTAGGCTTTTGTAGCTCCCTCTTCAAGAATGTAAAATCAAGGACTCTTGGGTAATTTTTCTTTTGTACTTATCCTGCCCACTGGAGAGGCAGGTCTCTGTAGTTAGTCTGCTCAATGAACCACTGAGTTTCCTCATTGTCAACGCTCATCTACTCAGGAGAAAGCTCATTAAATGTGCTTATAGCAGGCATTTCTGCTCTGGATCTCTTTACTTTCCTAGGGACACAAATAGTCTGGACAAACTAGAAGAAAGCTTAGAATTCACATGTCTGAGGATGCTGTTCTCTAATGTGCCCTGGACAAATTAGGAAGAGTAAAACTTATTGCTTGGTGAGTGGAGCCTAGGCCAGATTTTCATTGTTCCGACTTGTCCCCTTGGTTTATGGAAATCTTATAGTACTTTCTTACCCTTAAATCCAGAACCTGGATCATGCTCTGAATGGTCTGCCTTCTCTTTTCTGAGCCCCACTCCGATATCTCTAGCTCTACAAACTCCCCTTGGCTCTATTCAAGAAAAAAGCTTTTAAGACAATTTCATCAAGACCAAATTTCAACTCAAAAGCTCAAGGCCCTTTCATCCTCTCAACCCCACCCCCAGCCAAGTAATTACCTCACCGAGGAAAAAGAGGTAGGAAGAGGGATGGAGGTATCTATACCTCCTCTTGTCTTTTCTATGTCCTGCTATTTTTTTATTTGTATTATTAACTTTCTTCTGCCTTTCTCACTCAATCTTTGTTTCATGACTTGTCTAGGAACTGAATTTCTTTGTTGCCAACTTTGCCCACCTGCCCCAGAATGGAAGGACAACAAGCCACTGCCTCTACCCTTCTCGTGCTAACTCCTCCATGAAATTTTGTGACCCAGAGATGACCCTGACCTACATGCTGGAATTTTTTTTACCATAGAAGAACTATTTCTGCAAAAAATTTTGAAGTTGTCATTTTCATTTTAAAAAATAAGATGATAAAACACACACACACAAGCCATTATTTGTAAAATGCCTACAGATGATGAAGAAGAATGCATATCAATAAATACACATGCCTACAGATGAGTGACAGAGCATATGGGTATGTGTCTACCCACAGAGGCCAAAGCAAACCTATTAGATGAAGAGAGTGGTTGAATACTAAGGAAAACAACAGAAATCAAGAGTGATTTCAAAGTTGTTCTAGCTTTCCCTTCTACCAGTCCTTCCAGATTAAAAAAAAAAAAAAGTTTTCTCAGAAATCCTAAATTAGCTTCAGAAAACAGTCACGTGGGTGGCAGAAATGCTGGGGTTACTAAGCAAGAGTCTCACTGTGGTATGAGAATGATTGCTAGTGAGAAAGGGAGATTTTCAAGTGTTCCTCTGGAATTGTTTAACTAAATAAACTCTGACACCTCTGTGCCTCAGTACTCGATATCTTAGATTCTTTTCAGGGCCTGCTAGTCTTCTGTGGTTATAATATTCAAAAATTATGCAGATATTTAAAATAATGATTACCATATCCATGACGACCATCACCACCACCACCATTATCAATCATACTGACTTATTTTCTTTCTAGACCAATTTGCAAATACCCAGTTAACACCTGTACCTTATCAAGTGAACAAATAGTGGGTTTCCTCATTTTTCAAAGAGGAATATAGGTAGAATTTTAGTCACTTAGTCCATATATCCAGGTGGTGCCAATTTCAAACTTCACAGGTACCAAAGAGCCCAGGGCAAGACTGTCTCAAACTCGAGTGATAGAAGACCCTTTTCATTGGTTTCCAAAGCAGCTGTCAAAGGGAATAATGAACATTTTAAAGAAAAAAAATCATCTTTAGAATGGTTGGTCCTAAGTTTGGGCCAGGTTCAAACTTTTCAAATGCTATTCCAAATATTTCCTAACCAGTAATTTGGGGCTACATTCAATACTAACTCAGTGTCCCTACCTTCCAGAAATAGCATGCATGCAACTCTTTATACTGTATATAACTTATGCAGTTGGACATGTCATTCCTTCACTATATAAAAATTAGTCTCAGCTCCACAATCCAAAAATATCTTGGATAAACAGGCTTTCTTTCTTTCTTTTTTTTTAAGTATAGATTCTTCATAAATTTGCATGTCATCCTTGCACAGGAGCCATGCTAATCCTTTCTGGGTCATTCCAATTTTAGTCTATGTCGTGAAGTGAGCATGAGAAGGCCTTTTTGAGAGATGGAATGGTCAGTGGCAATCTTACCATTAGATTTGGAATCCCACAGCCAGCAATAACTTTATTTTTTTTAAATGTATTTTATTGATTTTTTACAGAGAGGAAAGGAGAGGTATAGAGAGTTAGAAACATTGATGAGGATGAGAGAGAATCATCGATCAGCTGCCTCCTGCACACCTGCTACTGGGGATATGCCTGCAACCCAGGTACATGCCCTTGACCAGAATTGAACCCGGAACCCTTCAGTCCGCAGTCCAACGCTCTCTCCACTGAGCCAAACCGGTTTCGGCCAGTAATAACTTTTAGTGTCTATGTTAAGAGAAGGTAGCATGGAGAACTACCTTCATGTGTTCTTTGTATGAATTATTCATCCTTTACCTCATCAGATACAGTTGTTGGCACATAGCATGTACTCAATAAATATTTATTGAACTGAATCTCTTCTCATATTGAACGAATTTACTTTCACTCAAAGGGGGGCTCCATAATCTCTTGGTAACCTGATATTGTGCTCCTAGCAATTTCTTTAAGGGAGAATTCTGGATTTGGGATATTGCTCTCTTTGTCCCCACCTCATCCATAAAGCTTTCCCTGACAGTTCCAGTCGATTCTCCTCTCATTTTTATGACTCCTTGTTGTACTTATTCCAGGTTCTACTCACTTTGGCACATACATGATATCTTATCTTGCCATGTAAAATGTGTTTCATAAACACATCATCCTTCCTATGTTCCTCAAGGGCAAAGGCCATGTTTGCTATTTATTTTGTACGTCCCATGGCACAGCACAGGATGGGGCTCACAGTGAGCTCTGGACAAGTGCCTGTTAAATCGAGTTGAATTTTAAAGATAGTGCTCCATTGACAGTGATGATTCTGTTTCAGAGAATTATCAAAAGGCAGGATTGGCTAAATTCACTACTTATTTCACCCAAATTAAGCCCATGGGCTTCTGCACTTGAAGCGCTAGTTAGGAAGCAGAAGATCGGAAAGCAGCTGATTGCTTTCAACAAAGAAGAGATTGTATATCAGCAATGAACTGCAGGATTTTGTATTTTAGTCACTAGCGACTCTTGGCCAAACCCTCTGGTGCTATCAGAAATAAAGAGTAACCCAGAGATATGTCAAATATCAGTTTCCAATTACTTTCCTGTGGCACATTTCTGCCACTTGGGAAAACTCCCAAAGGATCTGTTGTCCCTTATCAGCCCAGATGGGGCTTAACTTTCAGCCAAACAGGTAACACTCACAACACCCTGTTCAGCCTCAATGTTACTGTGTCCTCCGTTGACACTCAGATTCTCCTGTGAAGTCTTCCATATTGACTTACATGTCACTGGAGCCCTGGCCCGAGTGTGGAAGGCCTCCTGATATTATACACTAGACCAGTGGTCTGCAAACCATTATTCAACAGAGCCAAATATCAATAGTACAACGATTGAAATTTCTTTTGAGAGCCTAATTTTTTTTAACTTAAACTTCTTCTAATGCCATTTCTTCAAAATAGACTCGTCCAGGCCGTGGTATTTTGTGGAAGAGCTACACTTAAGGGGCCAAAGAGCCATATGTAGCTAGTGAGATGTTGAATGCAATAAAGCCTCCTGCAGGTCTTTTGAATTTTCCACTTGAGCCACAGGGAAAAAGAAGAGTCTTTACGGTCTTACCTTTGATACTCAAAACACAGAAGGGCTTCTCTCCCCCTCCAGATCACAGAGTAACTGGCAGAAATCTGTGGTAGTAGGAATGTTAAAACTAAGGAGCTGCAGAGAACCAGAAATCACATGTCTCCTTTATTACAAAGTAATAGAATAGAATTTGGAAAAACCAGAAAACATCTCCGGGTTCGTAAATCAGCCCAGTTGGAGGGAAACGCAAAAGGCCAGCACCTGGAACCAGCCTTCGGCAGGAGCAGGAGAGCAGCCTAAAGAATCAAACTCGGGGGCCAAGGCTCCAGACTGCGCACTGTGATTAATGACTTGAGTGAAAGGTCTCAGTTGAGGCCGAGCAATTAACGTGTTCTCTCTGCATCTCAGAACTCTCCACAGCGTAACTATGCCTTTCCTGATTGTTCTGTTACCAAAGTGCAAGACAGTCTGCGAAGCTTCGGCCCTGTCCTCATCAGCCTGTTTCTGACAACTGAGGGAGCCCTGGTGTTTGTCAGGCCTCCTTCTGTCAAGTCATCTGTGTTGACTCTGCATGCGTGTCTCAACCTTTCAGTTTCTTTTCAAGTTTGAGAACCATCTTAAATGAGGCAATGGCATTGGCCTAGTTCTGTCAAAAAAATTTTAAAAATTAAAATTAATTAAATAAATAAATGAAAGTCCATAGCTCAGAGGGTTGCAAATGGGCAGCATATGGCCAGACTTGTTTCTGGTCATTCCCAAAATGTTGTTAGGGAATTGAATGTCCATGAGATTAATGGTTCCCTCCTGTCCTGCCTTTATGCTCTGGAAAAGTTTTTCTAATCTCTTTCAGATCCTAAAGCATTTAGATCGAACCAATCACTCATCCTGAATCTAAAACTGAGACTCTAAGACCTACCAGAATCAAAGGAAATCTCAAAACTGCTTTCCTTCTCACCCGGATGTGAATCCATAGATGAGAAAGAAAGGCAGGCACCCAGAACCTGAGTTTGAATGTGGAAGTATCCAAAAGAAACCCAGTGTCCTTCCTCATTTGACCTTCCAAAACTGCTTCATTTGTGACTAATGGTTACCCAAAGTGGCCATGGCCCACAAAAGTAGCACTGGAAGGTGAGTGCCTTGCCTGGAAACATGCACCCCCTGATCTGCCACATGGCTGATCCTTCACCTTCCCTTTAGCCCATCCCATTCACAACTACTGTCCGTGAAGCAATCTTGTCTCCAGGAGAGATACCACAGCAACAGTAACAACAACAACAGTGATAACTAACTTCATGTAGAAGCAGGAGAGCAATAATAACAAATATAGCACTTACTGTGGGCTTGAAATTCTTTGAAATGCTTAACTTATACCGGCTCATACAAGTTTCACAACAACCTACTTAGACAGGTGTTGCTATCATGCTCATTTTATAGAGAGGAGGAAACAGAGTAATCAAGTAACTTGCCAAAGGTCACACAGCCAGTAACTGGCAAAGCTAGGATTCAAACACAGGTCTCCATCCTAATCCTATTCTCTACTGCAACTGTGTTCTCAGAGGCATGGGTCCCTTCCCGCCACTGCTGATGAGGTCAGAGAACCAACCTTTCTAACATAGGGCCTGTTTAGGAGTCAGGCCTGAAAAGTCCTATTTCTGCTACTCAATGTGTCAACTCAGAGAAGTTGTGCGTCTCTGAGCCTTAGCTGTCTTTATCTGTATACCAGCTTGCTATTCAGACCTACCTCACTGGGTGTCTGTGAGGAGGATGACAGATGCATTTGCAGGCATAAGCACAGCACCTATAACATGGTGGGTGTACCATAATCACAGCTGTGGTTATTACTAATCAATATCGACTAATGAGACCCTAAGGGTGCTGGAGATGAGAAAGAAACAATCACAGCTTGGAATGTGGATATAAAAAAAGCAGACCAATTTTATGCAGCCTATAGATTTGTTTATCTCCACAAAGAAAAAAATAATCTAATTTTAAAAATGTACGGAAGATGTCCAGACCGGACTAATTAGAATATTGTCCCTGAAATTCCTGGTATAACAGCAAGACGGCGAGGCACCCTTCACAGAGCTGCTCCTGAGTGAGTCTCCAAGCTTCATCCTTCCTCCCGCACTTCCTTCATGCTCCAGCCCAGCCCTGACACATCACATTCTTTGCATCAATAAGAACCGGTGCCAGAACACACTAAATTGCCTTTGAGAACATTTAACTGATGTAGTATTTTTTTATGATTCTTTCTTGTTGTACCATTTTTCACTTTTGACTTTATAATTCTTGGCTGACTTTATAGAAAGCTTCGCCAGACGACCCAAGGTGGTTTTTAATGGAGATTTAGGGGCTAGGTTGTGCTGTGGTTTGGATTCGGATTCTACTCTGGCAACGAGGGGAAATTAACTAGGTGGTTTCATCTCAAGTGCTCATTTATACTCGGAATAGACAGGGAATTTATCTTCTTCCAAGCCTTGTAATCATGACACTTCAAAGTGATATTCAAGAAATAAAAAATTAGGTAGCAATGGCTTCCACACCACGAAACCACTACACAGTGTCCCTGTAAGCCCAGATGACTGGGAGGATATAAAGACAGCAGCAGGATCCCTTGCTGAGTGACAGGGAGAAATGTGACCACATTCTGTCTTAGGCCAAAGACAATGCTTGCTCTCCTTAAGACGGGGAACTCAAATGACCCTGCACAGCCACTCGTTCCGCTCTGGGCTCCACCCGTCCCCAGGGCCTTGTGCCCAGAGGAAGCACTGGAAGCCACTGGCCTTCAGTGACGGGGAGAGGTGAGTGGCAAAGAAAACGAGTCAGATTAGAAGTCACTCCCCCAAACTGACATCTTTTTATAAGAATAGTCTTCAGCGAATTATTTCTCAAAAGTATAAAATTGGTATTGAAACTCAGTAAGATTCTTGTTTGTCTTTGTTTTTCATTATCATGCAATGCTTGCTCCACTGCAAAGGAACAAATATCACATGTAAAGTATTGGGAAAAATAACTTTAAAAATCTGTGTACATACTACCAAGCTTAGAAATAAATAATTCCCTTAAGTTTTCCCTATCAGATTAGATTTCTTTGCCTCCACTGACCACTGATGGTAAATGCAACATTGAATTTTAAGTTTTTCATTTCCATGTGGGGTGTTTTGTTTTTTTCTTTTCCAGTTTTGACACATATGTAAAGACTCTTTTAAAATAGAGTTTTGTTTTACTTTTTATATAAAAATAATATCATAGAGTATTACTCAGGGAGTTTGTTTTATAGATTCTTCCATGTTGAATGTTACCCCACTTCATTTCAAGAACCATTTGGGTTGTTTCCAGTTTTTGACTATTTCGTTGT